GAAAGAAAGAAAGAAAGAAAGAAAGAAAGAAAGAAAGAAAGAAAGAACCTTTGGGACAAAATTATCAGATGATTGACAGATTTTTTTAAAAAAACAACTCCCAGCAGAAAGAGCATTTTGATAGAGAACCTATTACTTAAGAGAAGTGCTAGGGCTTCTTCACTGGATATATTCCAACAGAAATTAAGCAGCCAATTGTTAAGGATGCTTTAATTTGGATCCCTGTATTGAACAAGAAGTTAGAGTCTCTTCTCTGTGATTCTGCTATAGCAACATGCCACAGGTTAGGGTTTTTTTTAAAATATATTCAGCTAGTGATGGAATAAATCTGATACTGTGTTTCTTTCTCTGTTTTTCTGCAGCCAGGAGATTGTACCCTTGACCAATGCCCAAAGGACAACCTTGGAAGTTTCATGCAAATAGTTCTGAACTTTCTTTTAAAAAAAAGAGAGAGGAAAAAAATAATTATGGTGGAACAGAGTACAAGTTTTGGCTGACAATATTTATCACAATATTGAGCATACAGTATATAGTCAGGCAATACTTGTACCATGTCCCTTAATGATTATTTTATTCTCTCCTTTTTTAGAAAGCTCAGAGAGCTATTTTCATGAATATACACACAGACACAAAACACGCATTCCTACCCAAACCATGTGGTAAAATGCTATTAATAGTCTATAAGATTTTTCAGAGAAACTGAATGCATTGGTTTATTGATCATCACTTGGTGCATAAACTGGTTTCAACTGTATTTGCATGATTTTTATGATCACAAGACTGTAGAAGCAAACTAGAACCAGAATATTGATGGGGTAAGCGTTAAGGACACTGGGTAAAAACAAATCTTCTCCATCAACCAAGGCAAAAACATCATGCTATATACAGTATTTAATTATATCTGGGGACTGTACACATACACACACACACACACATACACACACGTGTGTGTATATTGCCTAATGGTCAGTGGCTAATGGAGTTTATATTCCATCATATGCCCACTTTCTTGCAAACAAACTTTTTTAAAAAAAATCTGCTTCTGCATAATCAAAAACAGTCTAGATTTTAAAAGTACATTGGATTGTATTCTTTCTTAATAATCTCCAGAGGAGTTTTGAACTGCTGGGATATATTTATTAAATAGCTAAGAGTGTTTTGATTTCAAATGTTGATGTAAGCATTTATTTTTTTTTGCCCTTTACCCAGTCACTGGGAAGGAATGCCTGTGTATTTTGTAAACAGGCTGTTTTCTAGATGGGTATTATTTACATTCACAGAGGCATCTCTAGGGGGAAAAAAAGTAAGATATATTTGCTTGGCTTTTTAAAGTGCAACAACAATGTTTGGATTATGGTGGTACTTTTACTCACAAGTATTAATCAGTATGTAGACTTGTTGGCCTATCTTCAGATCCATTCTGTTATGAGGCAAATGAAGCAGTAGTCCTTTTAAGCAGCCAGTACTGATGACAGAAAAGAAGCAATTTGTAAACTAAATTATTATTGTTATTATTATATCTTTATTGCCAGAGATTAAAAAGGTACTTGTGGGATTTTCTGCCCCGTGTGCTAAAATAACACACTCAGACTTAACTTCACTTGAGAGTGGAAAACACCATTTGTGCTTTGGCTTGACATTGAACATTGAAATGTCTTGGAGTAAACTTACACACTCTTACACTTCTTGTATTCCTGTCTTGTTTGTGAGCTTTCCCAGAGTCTTCTGGCAATCCACTGAGAGAAACAAAGTGCTGGATTAAGTGGACTTTTGGCCTTACATTCTTCCTGTAAGGAAGAATGAGAAGACCCAAACAGGAAGCCTATCCCAACTCATGCAAACTCCTTCCCTAGCCATTTTAGAGAAGAGGGAAAGAAAGATTTAAAACTGGGATATAGAATTTTCCAGGAGACAAAGAGTAGCTGCCTTTCCTCCTTTCCTTCTATTTTTAAGTTCTATTGTTCCTCCTTCATAAGTGTTTCTATAGTTGAAACAAGCAGCCTCCAGGGATATAGTATTATTCTAGTATGCTTCTTTGAACAGTGCTTTCTCATCTCCCCTTTCTCCTTTCCCATAGTTTGTTTTGTGAGTGTGTGTGTCCCTCTGTCAGTGTAAAAATGCACACGCATATTTATAGTCAATTTTTTCATGAAAGTAATCCCAAAGCAATATATAGTATCATATAGTAATAATCTTAAAGCAGAATATGAAATAATTTTAACCAGGACACTCACTTCAGTTAAAAAAAACTAACTTTGTATCAAGTTCCAAAGGTTAAACCAGAAATCAGAATTATGGAACACAGTAAATGACACATGAGCATCGAGTCAGTTATGTAGTTAACTGATGCTGAAAACTAACCAGACTCAGTGCAATTGTGGCCAGACTGAAAGGCACTTTATGCTCGTGGCTTCTATATCCAAAACCCTTCTGGAATGACATTCCATCATAATACAATATCATTAAGACAAATAAAATGGGCATATATAGCAAACTTCTTCAACCTCAGTGGAAGAGCAGTGATATTTAGAATTACAAAAAGAGAAAAGGGGCTTCTTTTGATTTCCAGTCATATCCCTAAATGTCAGATAACTTTAAAACAAAGATTTTAAAGGTATCTGACACATAAAAAGGATGACTAAAAACATCGCTCTGTTGTACTCTGAACAGAAGTTGGAGATTTTCTTTTAAATGAATCAAGAGGAATTGATTTAACTAATCTGGTTGTTATTTTAGCATTTTAATCCCTATAATATCACAAATACCTAGATGAGCAGAATATTGTTTCTTTACTATTAACTTCACACTTAATCAGTTGTTCAATAGGAGACATTTCCATTTATTTTTTTCACTGAAAATCTATCTTTGTGCAACCTGCAAATTCATGGTTTCTGCAGAGCCTCTCTGCAATTCTGAACATTTAAAAATAGTATGTTTTCCATTTGGAAACAAATTGATGCCTTTCTATTTTTGCTTGTAGTGAGTGATACAGGCACAGCAAGTACTCACAAGAGCTGAGCTTTTTTCCCAAATGAAAGCTGCAATTTTAGCAAGGCCTTATAGATTAGAAGTAGTAGCCAACTCTTGGAAAAACTCTCAATTTGTCTAATGAGCATCTAATTTTTAAATTCACAAGGAGCTTTTGGGGAATCAAGTGAGAGGTTGCTTATGATATCTCTGAATTTTTATACAGGAGGTTAAATATACATGTTAAATATACAGAAGAGCAATAATATGCAGTCTTGTCCTGGCCAAAAGATTTAGCCTCTGCTTTTATCGAACTGATAGGCCAAAGATCAGATTATTCAAGTTCATGAAGGGAGCTGTCCAATAGGAGCTTTAGCAACAACTAGACTTCAACTAAGTAAATTTTAACAGCAATATTGCAGTCCCACCCTTTCTTTAGTCACTTGAGTGCTTCTTTCTCATATTTGCAATGATGTTTCTAATATATTAAGAAACAGGAATGACACCATTGACAGTGATTGTTCTGGTGGCATCAAAAGAGCAATCAGCATTCTTCAATTCCTTTTGTCCTCTACAAGCATTACAAACAGTGATAGGTTATCCCCCTTCCTTCATTTGAGGTATAAAGGATGCTAGAAGAGAAGAAGTAGCACTGACAGTAGATGTGATCTGCACAAAATGTGATCTGTTGACGAACCATTTATTTCATCCTATCATTTGTTTGATGACAACATCAGCTTTTACTTTTCATGAAGACAGAAAAAACCTGAATGCTTATTGAGCGCTGCCCTCATCCTCTTATCCTTCTTGAGGGACATGATTACTAATAATTGAATTCCTAAATAACTGAATTGTAATTGGCACTAACATTATAATATTCCTGGATCAGTTTTGCTCAATCATTTTTATTCTTACATGTAAAGCATGAGTTGGGTTTGGTCTTTTTAATTTATACATACACACACACACACACACAATTTTTATACTTTGAAGTAAACATAATTTTATATGCCTTGTACATCTGCTATGAGATCCAGTTGGATGAAGAATAGTATAGAATTTTTTTAATGCAATTAAATAATATAATCTATTTTTTAAGCGCCGTCCTTATTATATTTGCTTATCTTCATTATTCTTTAGTACAAACCTAATGTATCTAAGTGGATCAGAATGGATTCAGAGAGATTTTAACTAGTATGTAATTCAGTGGTCTTGGGAAAATCTCTGTAAACATCTGTTTCTACTTTGCATTAATAAAAAGAATTATACAAGTCTAGTTTTCAGGCTGAACAAAAAAAGGACTTTAGAGTTATATGTATGATTAATATTGTAAGTTTCTTTTTGAAACCTCATATAAAATCTTTTGTTGATCTCTGTTGACCCCTGTCCTTCATTGATCAGGATTGTAGGTGATGGTTGTAGAAGCTCTGAAAGAAATTCTAACCTTCCACGCAGATGTATATTCTTTGTTCTAACCATCCAATTTTTCTACAATGGCACTTCTGTTAAGAAGGAAAAAAGAAGCATATAAATAGTTTCATCCAGGGGTGGGTTTCTACCGGTTCTGTCCACCTCTGTAGAACTGGTAGTTCTGAAGACCAGCAGACATAGAACTGGTTCTATGTCTGCTGATGTTTTTGCCCACCCACCTGGGCTCTTACCTGATCTTTATTTCCTGATTTTTTCAACTTCAGCTGCCC